TTCAACGAACATAACAAGATGCCATTGTGGATGGTGGACGACATCTGAATAAGAGGAAGGCTCTCTGTCTATAGAAATGCTGCTCATATATGCCCTGTGCTTAGTAGACAAGCGGTCAAAATTGATATATGCAAATACAATACCTGTGGTGTTGGAACAAATGTAATCAGTAGTCCAGGCAGGTGGTCTGGAAATTGTGGAGGATCGTCTGACATGTATTGGTTTAGTGTTGGGTAGAACCAGGCAATCAGGGATGCAATCGTTGGAGGAATCATTGACTGTGATGGTGGGTGTTGGTAGCGTATCATTTGTGGCATCTTCAATTGGTTACTCTGATGTAGAATTGTCAACTATCATAATAGGTTGATATTCTGGAATTGGGACTAGTGTGAGAGGAGCTCTTGTGGATGGTTCAGGATCAACTGTAGCACAGGCTGGAGTGAGTAAGTCTGAAGTAGTTTCTTTGCCAAGATGAATGAATGGAAAAATCTCTTCGTGAAATACCACATCACGACTGATCAGAAACTTCTGTTGCTCTAGATTGTAGAGGCTATACCCTTTTGTCAGCATTTGATACCCCATGAAAATGCGTCTTGTGGCATGAGGCCTAATGAATAATTTAAATCCTTGCAAGTATATGAATCACAACTGCAATATAGTGTGCACATGCCAGGGTCGATCCCACAGAGATTTGTAAGCACTCAGTTAATCCTAATAAACTATGCCTTAATTAAACAAATAAAATCAAGCAAATTAAAGAACTAGTGATTAAAACTATATGTAAGAAGAAAATAGAAATTAACTACTATTGACTGATCCTAAATGACACCAATAAAAACTAATTTAAAAACCAATGAACTAAAACCCAGGTATCCAATTTCACCATAATAATCTAGTTTTATGTCAACTGTCAAACTATTGTTACCTCAATCCAATTTCTAGGGTTCGCACTCACCTAATTAATGTATTACCGTAAGGTGTTCGGGATTAACCTAGTAACTTTAACACAAGACTAGCTAGGGCGTATAGTCTAACCTTGTCTCACGCAATCAGTTAATTAATATTAAAGGTGATCAAGCAATAACATCAATTAAAGATTGAATAAAGGACAATGAATAAAACTAGAATTGAAATGGATTGATAAAACAAATAGAATTAATAAAGACATAAAACCTTCTTATTAGGCTACATTGGATCCCTAGAAAAGTATTTAGTTGTTAGTAAATCGACTGGTTAAATGTAGCGAAAAACAAAAATTTTCCCATTGATTACTCTGATGAACCCAAGATTAAGGTCTGATATGTATATATTTTACATGCTTAAATTGAAATAACACAAATCCAAGCAAGGATCAGATCATACCAGCGTTTGGAGGCTCCATCAATATCTCTGAACACAGTCTCGCTACCAATCCAAATGTAGAATCAAACTCACGTCGTCCACACGAAGACAGTACAATAGAGACCACAGATTGATTTTGGTAGAACCAATCCTTGGCTTTAAGGATTCAAGGTTTGGAAGGATGAAGTGAAGAAGAGAAGAGAAGAGAAGAAGAATTTTCTCTCAAATTTTTCTTTCACCCACGGCTAAATAATGGATGAATATGTCAAAACCTATTCATCCTTTTCTTTACATAGAAAAGGCAAATATCCATTCCACCCCTAAAGTTTAGCAATAACCCAAACTTAGGTGGAATTACACATAGGTCCCAATTTAATTATTTAGTTAAATATTAATACAAATATTAATATTAACTTCAATAATTAAATTCGTAATCTTGCTAAATTATTCCAATAATAGAATTGGACACAGGCTATTGATAATCCTACGATTATATTGTTTTTCTATACTTTTTGGTAGGATTTTGGATACTTCTTAAGTCATTTTGTGCCTGAATTGCAACTTAAACTCATATATTTTACGTTTCAGGCCAAAACATGCAGTTGGAGCAAAACTGAGAGAAATTGAGTTTCTGGACCCGGAATCAAGAGAAATTTAGGAATCAGGGAAATTCTGATGCGGAGTGGAAGCATTGTGAAGCTTGTTCCTATCGGGGATCACGAAGATCAAAGATTCAAGCGGAGGGTAGTTTGGTAATTTTAGAAAAGATGAGCAAAGTTTGACACGATGAAGATAATTCTCTACCGCGGAAAGTTAGCCTCGGGTCAGATGGTTTAGCGAGATTTCAATTCGATGCCACGACGAAAACTGCAATTCTTCTGTTTATTAAAACATTGCGTTTTAAATGTATTGCATTAGAATCCTCGGGTTTTGGCCAACTATTTAAGAAAGCCTTAGCTCATTTTAGAGGAGGTTCGGATTTTGAGAGAAGAAGAGGAAGAAATTGGAGGTTGGACCAATTTTGGGTCTTCATTTAGGGAAGATTTCATTCTCTTCTTACTGTTTTAGTATGTTGAATTCTTTACTTATAGTTTATTGTCTGAATTTCTTAAATTTAAATATGAACTAATCCACTTTTGGGTTAGGGTTTTGACCTAACTTTGATTACAATGGTTTAATCTATTTTAGATGTTGTTTTTATGTTCTACTACATTGGACTTTGTATTTATTCTTGTTCTTAATGAAATTGAATTAAATGTTGAGCATGATGAGACTGAGAACTGATTCATGTGTTAGCCTCTTAGAGTAAATACATAGATTAATGAATGCTAGAGATAGGTTCGGAGATTTATGAAATCACTTTAGGGTTCCATTTAGCTTTAAAGACTTTGAACTATTAATCTTCATTTTGTTAGGTGCGGAAGCTTAATAGGAATCAGTAGGAAAATATAGCTTGAGAAAGTATGTTTTACAACTTAGGGAATTCGGTTTATAATCCTCGCATGTGAGTTTAATAGCAACATCAACCGCAAATTGAATCAGAGTAACTTAGTGAAGTCAAACCCTAACCTCTTTGTCTTGAATTGATATTTTCGTAATCAGTTGATATTTTCTTAATTTGTTAGAATTTTAATTTAAGTTATTTATCTTTTGTTAATTTTTGTTTTTGTCTCCCGCAAATCCAAAAATCTTTATTTTCTTCAACTAGTTACAAAATTAGGAAAATTCGTACTTAACACGCAATCCTCGTGCGAATGATATTCTTTTCATCACTTTATTACTTTTTGCGCCTAGTATACTTGCTATTTTTGCATGTTGTAAGAAACAGGCATCAAGTTTTTGGCGCCATTGACGAGGATTGATTTAGTGTTAATATTGAAGTTTTCTAGTTTTCACTAGATTGGAGTTTTATTTTTGTTTTAGTTAGTTTTAGTTTAATTTTGTGTTTCTTTTCATTCATTTGTGATCTTGTGTAGTTTATGCAAAGAGCGAAACAATATCCAGTGGTTCCCATTGATCCTGAGATTAAAAGAACCGTAAGAAGACTTATTAGAGAGAGAAGAGAACGAGAGGCAATAGTCATTGAGATGGCTGAAACCAGAACTTTGAGGGAATTTTCAGTACCCTTCGGTAGTGGTAGTGGTCCAAGTATCACTAGACCACCAGTGCAAGATTTTGAAATAAAGCCGACAATCATCCAAATGATCCAACAGTCGGTACAATTTAGGGAAATGCAATGGAAGATCCAAATTCACACATTGCAAACTTCCTAGAGATTTGCGACACATTCAAGGCAAATGGAGTGTCAGATGATGCCATCAAGTTAAGATTATTCCCCTTTTCATTGAGGGATAAAGCAAAGGGATGGTTAATGGCACTACCAGCAGGAACAATCACAACCTGGAATGAATTGGCACAAAGGTTCCTGACTAAATACTTCCCTTCAGCGAAATCTGCAAAGATAAGAAATGATATCACATCATTTCTACAGGAAGAGAATGAGTCACTTTATGAAGTATCGGAGAGATATAAGGAACTATTGAGAAAGTGTCCACACCATCGTTTGCCTGTTTGGATGCAAGTCCAAACTTTCTATAATGGGTTGCTAACAAATGTGCAAACAATGGTGGATGCAGCATCTGGAGGAGCATTACAAAACAAGACACCTGAAGAAGCGTATGAGTTACTTAAAGTCCTAGCAAGTAACAACTACCAGAGACCCAATGAAAGAATTCATTTGAAGAAGGCTATGGGTATTCATGAAGTAGATGCCTACACGGCCATTTCAGCCCAACTGATAGCACTTCAGAAAAAATTAGGAGGTATGTAAGTAAATTCAATTCAAACACCTCAAGTAACATGTGATTTTTGTGCAGGTAACCATGCAAGCATTGAATGCCAAGTGGGAAATAATTTTGCTTCAGCATCCTCATCATCAGAACAAGTCAATTATTTGGCTGGGAATCAAAGATAACAAAACAATCCTTTCTCTAACACGTACAATCTTGGTTGCAGAAATCATCCAAACTTATCTTGGGGCAATCAGAATAATCAATGGAATCAAAGAACAGTGCCAAACAATCAAGTAGGGGTGAATAATCAACCAGGGGATCAAAGAGTTTCGAAATTGGAGGATATGTTCGGGAAGTTCATGCAAGAGACCATAGGTTTTATGAGTGAGATGAGGGCGAATTTCAGAAACCAAGGGGCATCGATTCGAAACTTGGAAGTGCAAATGGGTCAAATAGCTGAAAAGTTGAATGAGCGACCTCAAGGTTCCCTAACAAGTAACACAGTGACAAATCCATGTGAACAAGCAAATGCAATAACTTTAAGAATTGGAGCAATCTTGGAAGAGGTTGAACAAAGAGGAAAAGAAGAGAACCTACCAAAAGAAAGGGAAGAGTCCGATGAAGAAGTCGAAGAAGAAATCATTGTTGAGGAAGAGTCAAAAAATCTTAGAGGAGAAGAACCAAAAAGGGAAGAGATGCCAAGATAGAAGAAGGAAAAATTGCCATTTCCTAAGATACCGCCAGAGTTAGCACATCATACCCCTCCTCTGCCTTTTCCTCAGAGGCTCAAAAAGAAAAATCAGGATAAGCAGTTCACAAAATTCCTTGAGGTATTTAAAAAACTGTATATTAACATTCCTTTTGCAAATGCCAAGCTACGCTAAGTTCCTCAAGGAAATTCTAGCAAACAAGAGAAAGTTGGAAGATGAGGAAACATTGATTCTTACGGAGGAGTGCAACGCCATTCTACAGAAGAAGCAACCTCTAAAACTCAAAGATCCAAGGAGTTTCAGTATCCCTTATGTTATAGGAAATATTGCATTTGATAGAGTTTTGTGTGTTTTGGGTGCGAGTATTAATTTAATGCCTTTTTCTATTTCCAGGAGATTAGGAATTGGTGAAGTGAAGCCTACAACTGTATCTTTGCAGCTTGTAGATCGATCCATTAAGCATCCAAGGGGCATTGTTGAAGATGTACTAGTTAAGGTGGACAAAGTCATTTTTTCGGCAGACTTTGTTGTGTTGGATATGGAAGAAGACAAGGAAATTCCTTTCATCTTAGGACGATCATTTCTTGCTACCGGGAAAGCCTTAATTGATGTACAAGAAGGGAAGTTGATCCTAAGGGTCCAAGATGGAACGGTGACTTTTAATGTATTCGAGGTAATGAAATTTCCATCAGAATCAGATTCATGTTTTAGTGTGGATTTGGTGGATAGACTTGTAGCGGATACAATCAAAGAGAACACCCCTCATCTACCTCTAGAAGTTTGCATTGCCCAATCCAAAACAATCAATGTGGAAGAGCCGAAGAAGAATGAGTGTGGTAGGTTATTGGAAGCACTTCAACCGATAGACACAAACCAAGATCCAGATTTTGACATCTAAAAAGAGAAGGAAAAGGTAAAAACAAAAGAACCTCTAAAGCTTGAACTGAAGCCTTTACCATCTCACCTTAAATATGTGTATCTTGGTTAATCAGAACGCTTTCCGGTGATCATCAATGCAAAGCTGAGTAAAGTGGAGGAAGAGAGGTTGGTTCGAGTATTACAAGAGCATAAATCAGCGATTGGATGGACCATTTCTGACATTAAAGGCATTTCTTCATCTCTTTGTATGCACAAGATACTCATGGAAGATGATGTCAAGCCTAGGGTGCAACCGTAACGGAGATTGAATCCTTCTATGAAGGAAGTGGTGAGAAAGGAAGTGGTGAAACTCTTAGATGCAGGCATAATCTACCCTATTTAAGATAGTCCTTGGGTGAGCCCTGTGTAAGTGGTTCCAAAGAAATGAGGTATCATAGTAATAAAGAAAGAAAGCAATGAACTGATATCGACTAGGACAGTTATGGGTTAGAGGGTGTGCATCGACTACAGAAAGCTGAATGAAGCAACAAGAAAGGATCATTTTCCGCTTCCTTTCATTGATCAAATGTTGGAAAGACTTGAAGGGCATGCTTATTATTGTTTCTTGGATGGCTTTTCAGGCTATAATCAGATTGCCATTGCTCCTGAAGATCAAGAGAAGATGACATTCACTTGCCCTTATGGCACCTTTGCTTACTGAAGGATACCTTTTGGGTTGTACAATGCACAGGCCACATTCTAGTGATGCATGATGTCGATTTTCGGTGACATGGTGTAGCGGTTCATAGAAGTCTTCATGGATGACTTATCTGTTTTTGGTTCTTCTTTTGATAATTGCCTGTCTTACCTTTCCTTTGTTTTGCAGCGATGTCAAGATACAAATCTAGTACTCAACTGGGAGAAGTGTCACTTCATGGTTCAAGAAGGAATAGTACTCAGTCACCGAATTTCAAAGGATGGAATTGAAGTGGATCGAGCCAAAACAGAAGTGATTGAGAAGCTACCACCACCTGCAAACGTCAAGGCAATCCGAAGCTTCTTGGGGCATGCAGGGTTTTATAGAAAATGTATAAAGGATTTCTCCAAAATCTCTAAACCTCTTTGTAATTTGTTGATTAAAGATGCCTCTTTTGATTTCAATGAAGAATGCATGCATGCTTTTCAAACTCTTAAGAAAACTCCCATTTTAATTGATGTGTGATGCTAGTGATTTTGCATTTGGAGTGGTTTTAGGACAACAAAAGAATAAGGTTTTGCATGTAATTCAGTATGCTAGCAGGACACTAACTGATGCACAGTTGAATTACACCACTATTGAAAAAGAGCTTTTAGCCTTCATTTTTGCATTTGACAAATTTCGGTCTTATTTGCTAGGTGCAAAGGTGATTGTCTACATAGACCATTCAACACTCAAGCACTTACTGGCAAAACAAGAAGCAAAACCCAAGCTAATAAGATGGATCCTACTACTGCAAGAGTTCGAATTAGAAATCCGAGACAAAAAGGGGTCAGAAAATGTGGTGGCAGATCATCTATCAAGGATTGAACGACCAGCCCAGGGAAGTGAAAAGGAAACTCAAATCAAGGAGACATTCCCGGATGAGAAACTGATAAGAGTTGAAGAAGCACCTTGGTATGCAGATATTGCAAATTACTTATCATCGAGAGTGCTTCCAAATGGCATGACTTTCCAGTAGAACAAGAAATTTTTCTCTGACTTGAAATTCTATTTCTTGGAAGAATCATTTTTGTATAAACACTGTGCAGATCGGATGATGCGAAGGTGTGTCCTGGAAGAGGAGATGGAGAGTATTTTAAGGCATTGCCATGAGAAGGAAGTTGGTGGTCACTTTGGAAGAACTAGAACAGTAGTAAAGGTCCTTCAATATTTATTCTTTTGGCCAACTCTATTCAAGGACGCTTTACAGTGGGTTCAGGAATGTGACCAATGTTAACAGAGTGGAAATATTTCAAGGAGAGATGAGATGCCGTTGAGTAAAGTCGTTGAACTTTTCGACGTGTGGGGGATTGACTTCATGGGCCCTTTCCCAAATTCATATGGAAATCTGTGCATCTTAGTGGTTGTTGATTATGTGTCGAAACGGGTGGAATGTAAACCCCGCGTTATTATTCCAATGACTTAGGTATAAATTACTTTCAAGTAATTTCTTTTTTGAATGGAAGGGTAAAATGGTCAATTTATGTATTTCGGATGTCGCCATTATAAAGTAAAGGATGATGTCATTGAAGAGAAATGAGGGTAGAAGGTTATAAAATGATTGATAAGGTTAAATGGCATAAACGGTAACCAAGGGTATAATGGTCTTTTATACAAAAACATATGATTTAAGTGTCCATACAAGTGCACCAAGGGTAAATTAGTCATTTGCCTAGTAGAATTACTTAGGTTAAGTGTTTTAAAGAAGTCAAATGGCATTAAATGAGTACTTATCTTATGTTGTGTGTGTAGAATGACCAAAACGCCCTTATATGAAAAAATTTATGCCAAATGACCTTTATATCTAACTTTTATTGACCAATCACATTAGAGTATCAATGGATGTATTTACAAGGTTAAAAAGAGAGTAGTCGGCCTTGGACCCCAAAATATCATCTTCTCTTCATCTCTCAAATCCACCATAAAAGACCTAATCCAAGCTTATTCTCAATTTTCTTAGGATTTTAAGTTGATTTTCAAAGGAGATCACCATCCACCTTAAAGAACTTCAATTCAGGGTTAAAGGTGAGTTTCAAAACCCTAGTTTTTCTGAATTTTTGGTTAAAAGAGAAACATAGTGGTTGTGTGTGGAAGGTAGAAAGGTGAAATTTTGGAGCCAAGGAGGAGTATCTTTATGCTTTGAATACTAAGGTAAGGAAAAAATTCCCTTATGACTACAATTGATAACACCTAGGGTTATAAAACTTACATTTTTTATGTTAATATGAGTGTGATGCTAAGTTTGGTTAGAGTTGTTAAATGGGTGTGTTGATTGGTGTTGTGTGCATATGGAGGATGATTTGTCAATAAGAGATTTGTAGTTGGACGATGTTTTGGCACTTTTTGGTTCTGTAAAAAGGGAGGTTTTCATGGCCTTTTATACTTAGAATGATATGGCAAATAATATGAATGTGCAAATGAAGGTGACATGGTTAAAATGAATAGAATTCGGATTTGGCTATTTTAAGACTTACGTGACATGCTCACTGAATCAGTCCTAACTGAAGTTATAGAAGTCTGATTGAGTTGATTCTTGAAGTGTTAAAATTTGAGAAACAGACCTAAAAAACGTTTATGTTTTGGCCAAAAATAAATTCGAATTAGAAGATAATGGAAAAATTGCTTGAAAGTAACGAACTGTATGGCACCACTTTTAAGAAATTCCCATTTGTTTCTAATTCTAGTAAACCCCTGAATAATATTTACTACTGAAATTCTTGTATTGTATGAGAAATTAAATGAATTAAGTTAGAAGTTTAGTAGGAGAATATAGTATGATTGAGCATGGAATATGTTAGTCCATATGTTTGCATTCTAATGGTAATGCATATAGCTTATTAGTTGTCTTATGAAGAATTTATGAAATGTTAAAGAATGAATTCCATGAGTCTCTTGAGGTATAAACCAAGATCAGAGGAATGGAATTCTTATGGAAACCATGAGTCCTTTGAGGTGACGACCAAGAACAGGTAATGGTTTAATGAATCCGATCGGATAACAAAGACAATGAACCATCAAGTATAAAGACAAAAGAAATAAGCATGCCATGTACATGATATTTCATAAGCATATATGTTCTATGTTATATTATGTATGATTATGTTATGACTTATGTTTATGAAAAAAGTCCAAAGTGTATGATATGTTTTATGAACTTGTTATGTTAAGAATGAAGGTCATATTTTGTAGGTAGGTAAAGTCCTAAGTAATTTACTTGTATAATGAACCTTAATTGTTTAAAATGGCCATATTCCTACTGAGCGATTAGCGCTCACCACGAATGTTTTAAAATGTTTGCAGGTACGGATTAAGGCATGAAGCTGGGAGAGAATTCCAAGGGACGCTATGAGCGTGAGGGGATGCTTTAATGATGACTATTGAATGGTTTTGCTAATTTTAGTATAGTAATTATGTTATATCTCATAATGTATTAATTATGTCCATGTTCTATAATGGAGTAATGTTGTATTAACAAAGGAAATCAAAATTGCTAGTAAATTTTATAAAAGTGTGTATGTTCTAGTAAGTATTACTATGGATTTCATAATTTACTCCAAGAAAGGAATATATTTTTTGATGATTACAATGAACTTATATAGTTAAGAAAAAATAATAAAAACATATATCTATATATATGTTTTAAACTACAAGTTTATTCTTTAAATAGGATTTAAAAAAACTTCTTTCCTAGGCGTGGTTTTCGGTTCAATGGCCAAGGGATACTTAGGAAATACGCCCGGCTAGGGAGGGGTTTACATTTGGTATCAGAGCGTGATTTTGGGCGTTTGAATGATGTTTTGTTAATTGTTATAGGATTTTAATTTAATTGATGCTGGAAATGGTGTTTATAAGTAATGGAAGTATCATTCTCATGCGGTCCCCAAGATACTCTCTCCAGCCGATTGCTGTAAGTATTTTCTTTACTTGTTTAGTGAATAGACTTAGCTAATGTTGATTGAAATTTGTGTGAGAAGGGTATGGCTACGAGGCGTCCACGAAGGTTAATAGGAGGGGCGAGGAGAATATTAGAAGCAGGATAGGGCCAGTAGTAGCACCGACTACCAGTGTGCCCTATAGGGACCAGCTAGTTGCCCAATGCTTCTGTTTGGATGAGGCTGCAATCAACAGGTGATTCAGACAGCCATTACTGGGCTTTAGGAGGGTGATCGGAGGGTTAAGTAACCAAGTGAACACAATCCCTCAGCTCCAGTAGTTCAGCCACAGCTCCAAATAACAGTTCCACCTCCAGTAACTGGAACAGTTATGCCGATGGGTGCTACACCTTCTGGACAAGTGGAACCAATCTATAATCTTTCTCAAAAGCACCAACCTCCAGAGTTCAGTGGTTCAAACGATCGGCGGGTAACAGAGGGTGGCTAGAGACTGTCGATCGGGCCATGGCCTTGTTCCATGAGTGATCAGGAAAAAGTCGCTATGCTTCCTATTGTTTGAGAGGGAATGCTCGGGTATGGTGGAAGCTAATGGAGAATCCTATGGGACGAGTAATCTTTCTGGAATGAATTTAAAAGGCATTGAAGCAGAATACGGTCGGCAGACATGTTATCCGTGAAAACTCAAGAGTTCACGGAATTGAAGAGGTAATAGACGTTAGAGAGTATGCTACAATGTTCAATCCTAGCCGTTTTGCTCCTACTATGGTGAGTACTCAACAGTGCGGTTAGAGAGATTTATAATGGACTACACCCAAAATTGCCCGGATTGTTATAGAGGGTGGTCAACCTCCTCAGACTTATGTGAGGCCTTGGAACGAGCATTGAGGGCAGAGATTATTGTGAATAAGGAGAGGCGGATGGAGAAACCCAAGTTGGTGATTGGTAATTCTAGTTAGGCCAGCAGCAGTTCAAAAAGTTGAAGTGGGGAATTCCACTCAGGCCTCAGAGGACAAAGGTAAAAGAAAGTTTCAACAAGGATTTCAAAAGAGGGTAGCAAGAATAAGAGGACTCCTCAGCAACAAAAGAAGG